CGCAATATAACCACGGTTGGTATTTTTTTTACCGTGTTTATTTGAAGCCAAAATGAGCGCAATATAACCACGGTTGGTATTTCTCTTACCGTGGTAATTTGAAACCAAAAATGAGTACAAAATAACCACGGTTGGTAGCTTTCTTACCTTGGTTATTTGAAGCCAAAAATGAGCGCAATATAACCACGGTTGKCATTTCTCTTACCGTGGTTATTTGAAGCCAAAAGTGAGCSCAATATAACCACGGTTGGCATTTCTTTTAYCGTAGTTATTTGTAGCCAGAAATGAGCGCATTATAACCACRGTTGGTAGTTTTCTTACCGTGGTTATTTGAAGCCAAAAATGAGCGAAATATAACCACGGTTGTCATTTCTTTTACCGTGGTTATTTGAAGCCAAAAGTGATCGCAATATAACCACGTTTGGCATATCTTTTACCGTAGTTATTTGTAGCCAAAAATGAGCGGAATATAACCACGTTTGGCATATCTTTTACCGTAGTTATTTGTAGGCAAAAATGAGCGCAATATAACCACGGTTGGTATTTTTCTTACCGTGGTTATTTGAAGCCAAAAGTGAGCGCAATATAACCACGTTTGGTATTTCTCTGACCGTGGTTATTTGAAGCCAAAAGTGAGCGCAATATAACCACGGTTGTCATTTCTCTTACCATGTTTATTTGAAGCCAAAAATATGTGCAAAATAACCACGGTTCGCATTTTTCTTATTGTAGTTAATTGTAGCCAAAAATGAGCGCAATATAACCATGGTTGTCATTTCTCTCACCGTGGTTATTTGAAGCCAAAAGTGAGCGCAATATAACCTCGGTTGTCATTTCTCTTACCGTGGTCATTTGAAGCCAAAAATATGTGCAAAATAACCACGGTTCGCATTTTTCTTATCGTGGTTATTTGAAGCTMAAAATGAGCGCAATATAACAACGGTTGGTATTTCTCTTACCTAGGTTATTTGAAGCCAAAAATGAACCGAAAATAACCACGGTTGGTATTTCTCTTACCGTGTTCATTTGAAGCCAAAAATAAGTACAAAATAACCACGGTTGGTATTTTTCTTACCGTGGTTATTTGAATCCAAAAATGAGCGCAATATAACCACGGTKGTCATTTCTCTTAACGTGGTTATTTGAAGCCAAAAGTGAGCGCAAAATAACCACGGTTGTCATTTCTCTTACCGTGGTTACTTGAAGCCAAAAATGAGCGCAATGTAAACACGGTTGGTAGTTTTCTTACCGTGGTTATTTGAAGCCAAAAGTGAGCGCAATATAACCACGGTTGGTAGTTTTCTTACTGTGGTTATTTGAAGCCAAAAATGATCGCATTATAAGCACGGTTGGTAWTTTTCTTACCGTGGTTATTTGAAGCCAAAARTGAGCGCAATATAACCACGGTTGTCATTTCTCTTACCGTGGTCATTTGAAGCSAAAAATATKTTCAAAATAACCACGGTTGGTAGTTTTCTTACCGTGGTTATTTGAAGCCAAAAATGAGCGCAATATAACCTCGGTTGTCATTTCTCTTACCGTGGTTATTTGAAGCCAATAATGAGCGCAATGTAACCACGGTTGGTAGTTTTCTGACCGTGGTTATTTGAAGCCAAAAATGAGCGCAATATAAACACGGTTGCTAATTTTCTTACCGTGCTTATTTGAAGCCAAAAGTGAGCGCAATATAACCACGGTTKTTATTTCTTTTACAGTGGTTATTTGAAGCCAAAAATGATCGCAATATAACCACGGTTGGTATTTTTCTTACCGTGGTTATTTGAAGCTAAAAATGAGCGCAATATAACCACGGTWGGTATTTTTCTTACCGTGGTTATTTGAAGCCAAAAGTGGGCGCAATATAAAAACGGTTGGTATTTCTCTTACCGGCGGGTCATGTTTGATTGATTTTGGACCATTTTCATACCTTAATTCATGAGATGCAAAATAGGTGACTTTGGGCCATTTTCTGACAAAAAGAATGGGCTATAGCCAATGGTCCCGATTGATTTTGTGCCATTGTCATAACTTTTGGGAAGATATGCATTATTTGTGAGGGCTGCAAAAATAGGTCATTTTGATCCATAGTTTCTGACAAAGACCTTGGACTATAGCCCGTGGTTTTGATTGATTGTGGGCCATTTTCACATATTTTGGAAAAATATGCATTATTTATGAAGAGATGGTTATCATAAAACCATGGTACCCTTGTATCCTTATCTTGGTTGAAGGATCAAAATGTAAAGCCAAATAACCATGGTACCCTTGTATACCTATCTTGGTTGTTGGGATCAAAGTGTAAAGGCAAATAACCATGGTACCCTTGTATACCTATCTTGGTT